ACTATTAGTAAATACAATACAGATGTCTTCCTTTGTAAGTTAAAATTCAAGTAATATTACACATATGGACTAATTATCAAGTATTTCTTAAATGTTTGATGCCAAAATTAAACTAGCAACTTTTCTGACATTCAAGCAATCCTCATTACTACTGAATGTCTAAAACTTTGTTGTGGAATTTACAATATATTGTTGGGTGACCGAAGCTGAAATCCTAGACAAAGTTACGAAGATGCAGATAGATACAGAGATATGCACTCTTTTGTATCTGCTAGAAATTTGTCATAATAAAAAGTACATGGAACTTGTCTGGGTGCTAATATCTGCACCTTTTAAAAAGTGATTGAAAAATTACTGAATTATCTGCAGCCTGCTTATAATTGCAATATATAAAAAGCAAAAATAATTTATAAAACTATGATGTTGAGGGGGATAATTATCAATTAGGACATGAATTTAAAATGTAACAAAGAAATGTAATGCAATCTAGAGGATAAGAATAGGAAGCAGGCAAATAATAAATGGAAAATGTATGAATGATGAGAAATCATTTCATACACAAATGGATGAAAATGTGATTAATGTGATAAGTAGTCAAAAAGATGGGCAATATAAGTACCCCAAAACAAATTAAATATTTGAGCTGAAGAAAACTGAGAACAATTACAATGTTAACAAAGGGCTCTCTTGTTTCATAATGGACACATGATACCAGATGTAGCTTTTTTGTAATAAAACTCACAAAGAGATCTTTATCATTTTTTTAATGAAAAAAAAATGAAATGTTTTCATACGTAGGAGTGTGGCACTCTAAAGCTAAATATTTCATCTTAGAGTTTATTCAACATGCAGATGCACTTCTACTTCCCTTCCCCGAGATTTCTCTTCATTGGACAAGAGAGGAAGCCATTAATAAAACATTTCATTGATTCATGGCAAGAATGGCCAGTCATAAAATTCATCAAATTTTATTATTTAACTGTATTAATAAAGAGCTATCTGGAAGAAATACCAATAGTACATTTGAATATGATTGCAGTTCTATTTGTTTCTCTGTATTTGCAAGTATTTAAATGTCAGTAAATATATCCCCAAACTTTGTTATGCTACCTTGGCATAATGAAGCATCAAAAGAAATGTTTCAGTTTTCCCAATTATTACAACCCTAAAACTATCATCTTGTACACCTACTTCCACATGCAACAAGTAGACCCATCTAATGAATTTACTTGGATCATAGCCTAGATATACTGCTCCAATACTAGCAGCAAGAAACAAAAGGTTATTAAAAGTATCTTATGTCATGGAGTTAGCACAGTTACCCTGTTACAGACACATTTTGGTTTATATTAAGAATGCTGGATTGTGCTGGTTCATAATTGCAATATAGGTTTTCATATTTTAAGAATGCTGGATTATTTTAGTCTTATTTCTTACAATAGCTAAGTGCATTAGAATTAGCCGGTGAAAAAATTCTAAGTAAACAGTAGAATCCAACACCTTTTAAACCAAAAGTCACATCACATCAGTCCTATTCTAATTTTTTCTTTAAAAAATTATCTGTTTTTTGAAGACTATGATCTGTTTTTTGAAGAATTGAAGACTATGAAATGGAAGCACAAAACAATTTGTAAACCAACCAGCTCACTGTATGTACATATATGGAAGATAACTTGATGTTTTTATGTTTTGTTAGTTTATGTTTATTTTAAAAACCAATAAAAATTTATATATAAAAATAAATAAATAAAATTAAATTTTAAAAAATTATCTGTCCTCTACATGAGGTTCCCATTGACATCCCAGTGTTTTGGAAGGCTGTGATTGGCTGGAATTTTATACTCTATAACTATCATTAAATGTTGTACCTTATGATTCTTGACAAAATGTATCTTTTCTTTTTATGTACACAGAGAGACAAGACAAATTCCTTGTGTGTCCAATCACACTTGGCCAATAAAGAATTCTATTCTATTCTATTCTATTCTATTCTATTCTATTCTATTCTATTCTAGAATGATTATAGATCCTTATGTGTACTGTATGTAGGTTTTGCCCATTTTTGTCTGCTTTTGCTCCTTTATTATATTGTTTTGTCATTTTTCCCTTGGATTTTTATTTTATTTTATTTATTTTGTGAACCATCAAAGTTGTTGGGAGTCAATAGTGCAAAAATTGTATTATTATTAACAACATGCATGTCTGATTAGACAAAAAAGTATTAAGTCTTCTGGAATGAACAAATTGGTTACACGGTTCAATGAATGCTAGTCATATCAAATGGAAGAGAGATATTTTGCAAAATTTCGTGTACATGAACATTGACTATATATACTGTTTCTTACAGCCTCCACCCTGGTATAAAAATCTTGAGCTTCTTAGTGACGATATAATCCTCTTTGGAACATTTCAAATGCATTCACTCTAAGGATAAAAATCTATCATCCTGTATCAAGCTCATGTATTTCCTTTAGCATCCTACCTAGTTACAGAATGAGTAACATCTTTTTTGGGCCCTCAGATAAATGCACGTGAGTTCAGTGCCAAGACAAACGTGACACTGTCACATCACTTTGGGAAAAAATAAATGCTTACAGAATCCTCTGAGTTTCATTTCACAGTTCATTGGGCGTTGCCCTTTCATGCAGAAGAAATGTTGCCAAACTCCTTTGCAATGAAAGCATTATCAAAAGTCAGTAGCGTTATCATGATAATTCTTCAACATTCATCACATCCAACTTTTTAGGCAATTCCATGGATGTTTGGGTATGATACCACAATGAAAATTAAATCTGTGACTTGCAGCAGAATGACTCTATTATGGTAACAAATCCACCCCAACAACTCATTTTAATTCATGTTTTGATTATTTCACAAGATAAAAATATAGATAAAAGGGTTGTGTCTTGTAAACAAGTTATTACTTCTACTAAGATTACACAAAAACTGCAAGTGCTTAAGATGTATGTACTGTAATGCAAAAAAGAATGAATCAGGTCAGGCAATGCTATGCAAGCATTTGGGAATAACACCATGGCCATAAAACTGACATGGCACTGCAGAGGTCTTGGTAAATAAAACATTTGCTGCAATGCCCTGAAAACTTTTAGCAACCAATACATTTGTTCTGCTCTCAGTTCATTTACTTGTCTTTCTCAACTAAGATTTTCAAATATTGAGTGAAGAAGAATGATATGTTTGGGCTAGATATTCATCCAACCTCAAATCTTGCAAATCTGAAATAAAAAATGATGTAAATCAGGGGTGTCAAACTCAAGGGTGCTTAGATTTAGCACTTGGAGCTACCCTGGAAACAGTGAAGGATCGGCTCACAGTGCCTCTGCCAGCAAAAATGGAGCTCGGGCCGCATGCGGCCCTCACGAGCTCAGTTTTCCCTGGCAGAGGGTTGCAGGAGGCCGTCGCAGCCAAAAACAGAGCTCGGAAGCCCATTTTCACTGGCAGAGCGCTCAGGCCATCACAGGATCTCCCGAGTGATGTCAAGCTGGCCACGCCCACCCAAGCCACACCTACCCGGGCCCCGAGGTCAAACACAACCCTTATGCGGCCCTCAATGAAATCGAGTTTGACACCCCTGGTGTAATACCTTCCTTCAGAAATAAACCATTCAACTTGAATGCATCTGACAATTACCAAGGAAGGGGATAAGTCTGAACCTTGTGTCTTATTGAATTTCCTAATAGGTATCAGCCAATATTATATCCAGATGTAACTGAAGAATCTACAATTAAATATTCCACAATTTCATTTGTTAAAAATTGAACAATGAAATATTAGCAAGAAAAAAAATCTGTTTAGTTTTTGGAACGTAGGTAAGGGAGGAAATTGTTGACATAAGTCTACTTGATGGGCAAGCTCTACTATAAACACACCATTAATTTCTAGTGCAGATGAATGATGTTGCAATTTTCCATCATGAATAAAAATACTGACATGCTCCTCCCTGGTATTTTTGCAGTTTCAACTACCAATCCGGTTAAAGCCAATTTACTAGCACAGGCCTGTAAAAACAGCCACATCACTAGATCTTCAAAGTCCCTTGAATGCAATTCAGTGCGGTGTACAATGTACACTGTACATGGAGAGTAACATGGAGCGGAAGAGCAAGTGTAAAATAGGAATATACTACCCCTTTGTTTGCATTTCTGCAGACAAGGCCCCAAATTTAAATTCCTCCCTTTTCCCCAGCTGTACAAACCTCCCTGTGAGGGCAAACCTAAAAAAGTATCCCTCCCCAAATTCCTCAGGCAGAGCAAATACACCTTCTAACCTCCAAATACACAATATATAAAGGAAACTAAATGCCTTCCTAGTAAGGTTTACAGATCTGGATTATAAATTTCCAGACTATCACTAGAAGGCAGCCAAAAAAATATATCAATTTTTTCTTCCTTCCCCTCAAAAGCGTCCGGATTTATTTATTTTTAACAGTCCCGATAACCACCTACAAGGAAAGTAAGCCACAATTTGGAGGAACGGGGGCAGCTTTCCTTGACAGAGAAGCCCTTCCTTGCACCATCCTAGTTCTCGGTTGTTGTTGTTGTTTTAATAAAGGGCGCACGACTTCCAAGATTTTGGATTGAAATGTTTTCAACTCTCCTCCTTGCAAGACGGTTTCTTCTTCTTCTCCTCCTCCTCCTACCAATCCTCCCTTGGCAGGCCGTTAGGTAAGCCAAGGAGCGCCGCGCCGGACAAAGGTAAATTTCACGGGAACCCGCAGAGAGGAAGATTCAACACCTTTCAACCGACTTCTCCGTCTCCCTCCCCTCGCAGGCCTGCCTCAGAAAAGCCCGACTCCCCTCCTTCGCCCACCTGGGACCCCAGTTCGGCCTTTACATACATACATACATACATACATGCATGCATGCATGCATACACACCCCTCCTTTTTTTGTGTGTGTAACCTCCCGCTGCTAAGAAGACCCTTGCAGGTATAAAAAGCCCCGAGAGGCTCAGAGCCCTTCCACCCGCAGGCGCCTCACCTGACGGCGACGCGGACGGAGCTCTCGTCTGGGCCGGTCGTCGACATGGTTCAAAAAGGCTGAAGCCAAGCAAACGCTCGGAGGAGCATTCAGTCCAAGCAGATTTTTTTTTTTTGGGGGGGGGGGGGGGGACCCCCGTAAACCCAAACGGGGGGGGGGGGGAGAGAGAAGGTGGGGTGTCTTGTAACGTGCACACCCACACTCGAAGAGAAGCGCTCTCAAGGAGCCAGGTTGCTGCTGCTGCTGCTGCTCCTGCTCCTGCTGCAGCGACGGTGGCGGCTTTTGCCTTCGCTTCACCTCCTCCTCCTCCTCCTCCCCCCCTGCCACCACCACCACCTTCGGCTCTCTCCAGCCATTTTAGGTGATCGCCTGAATGAATAGGTGTAGCGGCGGCGGCGGCGGCGGCGAGAGCTTGTCGTACTCCGCCCACTCCGGCGCTTTATAGCGCTTGGAGTAACCGAGGAGCCGGGCGTCCGCCTCGGGATTTCTGCAAAGCCGTCGCCGATGATGATGCGCACCGGTGGCGGCAGCCGCACCAGGGAAGTGCGAGCGGTCGGCGGCTCTCGCCCAGCCGCCGCTTCAGCTTCTCTCCAGAAGCCGCAGTGCGAAACGAAGCCCCTCCTCTTGCCGCCGCCGCCTCAGTTTGCTCGCTTTGCGGCGCCCCGGCGAGCTCGGCCATCACCGTCGACGGCGCTGTGGCTCCTCCTGGCGGGGCGGAGTCACGCGCTGGCCTTTCCGCGCCGGCGCCGCGGGCGGAGTCGCGGCCGAGCCTTGCAGGTTCGGCTTGAAGCGGCTCCCCTGGGTTTTTTTTTTTTTTTTTGTGGGCGAGCGCGCGGATTCCTCGGTGCGGCCTCCTCCTCTTTGTGGAGAGGAAGAGGCTGCTGTTGGATGTTTAGCCCTCCCCCCCCCTCTGTTTTTTTCTCATTGGAGACCACGACCTTATTCTACGGGGTCTGTATACTACTGTCGTAGTAGGGTAGTTGTTGCGACAGGTGGCGGCACTTACCTGACCTTGGCTTGTCTAGGAAACAAAAACTAAACGCGGGGGCTAAGAGTAAAAATCGCAGGGAGTCAAACAATATTCTGGAAGAAAAGAACAAGTAACTTCACTAACGTTGCTTTAAAAAAAAACACCTGCATGGGTTCACCATGAGTAGGGTTGAGGATGTATGTTAATCAATCAGAATAAAGTTGGAAGGGACCTTGGAGGTCTTCTAGCCCAACCCCCTGCTCAACCCTACCATTTCGCACCAACGTGCCTACCGTCCCTGTCCTATTGTTTCTCTTATTCTTTTATTTTTCTTATATGTACCCATTTCATGTATTCACAACTATGTATACATTTATACTTATTATCTTGTAAACAATTGGCAAATCAAATAAATAAATAAATAAAGTGGCTGTCCAGTCTCTTCTTTAAAACCTCCAGTGATTTAAGCACCCACAAATTCTGAGGGCAAGCATAATGTCCTTTTACAGGTAGTCCTCGACTTGCAACAGTTCATGTAGTGACCTGAATTACAACGGCACTGAAAAAAAGGAACTTATGACCGTTTTTCACACTCATGACTGCGTGCAGCGTCCCCATAGTCATGTGGTGCTTGACAATTAAGCAATAAAAACATCAGGGCAACCGGTCTGTCCTCAGATCTGGCCCCTGGGCGTGCCAACCGCCTTCACAGTATTGCATTGTATAACAAGCATACTGCAGTTCCAACTTCAATCGAAATGGCAGACGGTAGCAGCTCTCAGACCTCATCCTTGAAGGTCAAAGCCAAAACTATTTTTATTGCAATAAAGACAGTGTCCTGGTCATGTGATCTCCTTTTGTGACCTGGCAAGCAAAGTCAATGTGGAAACCAGTATTACTAATTTAAGAACTGCAGTGATTCACTTAACAAATGTGTTGGGAAAATAGGACAAAACTCACTTAATACATTTCTCACTTAACATAAATTTGAGGGTCAATTGTCATATGTTGAAGACTACCTGTACTTCTCTGTACAGCAGGCATAGCCTTAAATATTACCTAGCTTTTTGATTACTGTATATTTTTTTATTAGACTGACAACAGTCATTGACGCTTCCATGTATTATCTTATCAATTGTTTCTTTTTCCCCTCAAGAGACTCAACTGCCCTAGATTATTTCCTGATTCCAGGCATCAGCTTTAATTGAGCCCTTCAAATCTATAATGACTTATCACACATTCCCAGAGAGAAATGGAAAAACCTGAAAAACTAGCTTCTTCAGTTGAAGCTTCTTGGATGAGAAGTGAAACGTCTTCAAAGAAAAAAACATAAATTCCAGTTGCCTCTTGAAAAAGCACCTTTAGGACAACTCCATGACCTGGATGACTGAGAATCTCCATAGGTAATGCAAAAAAAGATAATTTGGACCAAATGCCCTTGAAATCAGGAGATTTGATTAAATTGCTTTAAAATAATGCACATTTAGTTGAAAGTCTGTTTATCTCATGAGACCTAGTAGTCCTGCGTTAGGTCATTCCTACAAGAACCACTCTAAAGGAATATTTTATATTAATGGAGATGGTCCAGGAGAATGTGATGGTTGATTGCATCAAGACATTTAAAATGTCAAGGAGGATCAATTGTGTCACATTTATTCTGCCTCCCTTTACTGAAGTTATTTACCAGTATGACTGATTTTGTCTCCCTACAGGAGACAAAAGCAATTTCATTAATCTGACTTTGCTAATTTGTGACAGATTTTAAATCTCTTTGAGCCAATAATAGTTTTGTGGTGTTCAGGTCTAAAAGGATTATATTCAGTCACTGAATGTTAATGGTTAATATGACTAATTTACAAGGTATAAAAATGCTGTTTGGTAATTAACAAAGAGCCCAGGTGTTTTTTGATTCCTTTCATATTTTGATCCTCTTCTATTTTTTCCACTGTGATAATTCCATATCAGTTCACAAAGATTTCCTCAAATTGAATATATTCCAGAGGATCCTCCCAACAAAGTGATTTTAAATATTCTGGCAATTTGAACTAGAGTATCGACTACAGCAGGGGTGGGCAAACTTTTTGACTCGGGGGCCTCATTGACTTTTAAAATTTGACAGATGGGCCGGGTCAGCACAAGATACGATACATATAAAAAACTGCAAAATTTCCGCAAAATCAAGTCACTGCGCCTAATGCGCCACCTGGTGTCAAAATGCCTATCATTACAAGTCAAAATCAAATGAATGCAATCATTCAATCATTCACATCAAACCTTAATTCTGTACCAATCTTCGGCGGGCCGGATTAAAAAGACCAACGGGCCGGATGTGGCCCGCGGGCCGTAGTTTGCCCACCCCTGGGCTACAGCCTCACTGTAACCTGTATAAACAGTTCACAAGTAGTATTCATGAGAATGTATCATGCTTACACCAATCTTCCTGAATTTGGTGTCCTCCATATATTTTGGAATTATAACCCCCAAATTCATAACTAAACAGACAAGTCCAGGTGTGGATCTTCTGCAGCTACATTTAGCTATTTCTGGGAAAAAGCAAAACACTCTTTGCAAGAAAAGCAGCAACACATCTACATCAGCAATATTCTACAAATAGAAATGAAGAGCTTTGTGAGAATCCATGAAATGCTTGATCTCTGTCACGTGAAAGGAAGTATACAGTTGCATTGCACCTGGAAAGCCGCTTAAATTTGCAAACTGATTTGAGATCACATTTTCTGCTTTTTAAAAATGAGGCATTACACCAAATTGCCAGCGCCTCAGTCCTCACTCAAGTGATAGAAACCAGCAAGATAAATATTAAAGGTACTCAATGTTATCCACGATCAGTGGAATAGCTTGCCTCCAGAAGGTTTTACAGGTTTTCAAGAAGAGATGGTATAAATATTTGTCCAAAATAATATAAGGTCTTCTACTTGAGCAGGGGATTGGACTAAAGGACCTGCAAGGTCCCTTCCAATTCCGTTATTTTTTGTTTTAAGGATCTCTTCCTTTAATTGTGAGTGCGTGCACTGGTGTAAATACACCACCTCATTGGAAATTGTAGTTCAGAGTCCTGGATTCCTGTTTGCAATGAATAAGTCAATGATGAAGTATCAATAAGTAGAATTGCAGCACTACTTGGATATATCAAATCCCCTCAGTGTGCATTTTTGATGAACCACATCAAATTTATATTTCATAGACTTAGAAAACAAAACAAGTGGGTAGCAAAAAAATTAGAAGTGGTTTCTCTCAATCGACCTCGCCCCAAAGATGCTTGATTACATTATGGTCTTATAAAATCAAGAATTTTTTTCCAGGCATATTAAGATCCATTCATGGTTTAGAATGGATCTATTTTGTTGCTGCTTTAGTATTATTTCATGTTTTATTTATTGCCATTATTATTACTGGTTGATTTTCATTTCACATATTGAACTACTCCCTATGATTACTTTTGGACAGCATTCTTTATTTACTTTCTACAATAGATCCAGAATTCATTATATGCCTTCATATTCCCCCTCCTTTTTTTGTCTTGACCAGAAATTTCAAAAGATTAAGATGATTCCAATAGCAAAAGAAAATAGGGTGTTCAATCAGAGGAATTTAAAAGGAATGGCATACCCAAACATACATGTATATTTTCATTTTAAGCATTTTAAGCATATTGCCCCAGATTCCAGAGCAAATCATAAGATACCCACAGATTTCTCTCCATCCACAGATTGTCCAAAGTCCTCATTCTTTGCATGGAGCTTTTTGTACATCCCTAACACAGAATATACAGTATATGAACAGCATTTTTAGTAAGCCTGTTGCAATTCAAGTAATTAAAAACTGTTGATGATTAAACAGGACTTCATATGCATCAACTTTGACCTTGACATAATTATAATTTACTAAATCTACATTTTATTTAAATCTAAAATGAAAATGGCAAATCATATAGTCTCTGAAGATTTATTCAATAAGGTCAGAGGGACATATCTGGAAGCTATAATTTTCAAACTATGTCAAATTATATCGCATGATGACTGTAGCAGCAAATTTTCCCTCATGGCTAATGAGTGCATGGGGCAAAAAGGGTGAAACATTATTACTTTCATAGAGAAGTTCAGTTCAATGTTAAAGAGGATGCAGATTGCCATAATTTCTATTTTTAACCATGTCCATGAGAACCATTAGCAGCTGGAAGGTATTACCTCATATTTCCAAATAATGAAAAAGAGTTATGTTTCCATAACAGAGTGTTTACCTTTTTAAAGGTTGCATGAAAGAGTATAAAGTTGGTTTAGGAATATAAATTGAAATATATGATTTCTGATAATCTTTAATGAACTTTTACTGATCAAAACTAAAACAATGAGGTTTGAAAAATTTGTTTATAGATAGGAGATGAGCTATGTAGGTAGAGACCATTTGTTATATTTTAAAAGAAAGTGGTAAGTTACTGAAATTGTTTATACTTGTGAAGAGGGAAATCATTTCTTTATACATTTCTTTTTCTTTCTTTTCTATTTTTCCTTTCTGTACTTTGTATTTTTTCTTTTTATTCTTTTAAATTTGTGTTAGCTTTTATCTTTCCAACTGTAATTTTTAATAAAACTACTATTTAAAAAAAGAGAGAGAGATGAGTTTAAGACTCTGGGGCATAAATGATTTGCCACTGCCTTTTTCTATTAAATTT